GAGCGTCGACAAGCTCTTAGAAAAGTAAAAGATTCAGTCTTTCAGTTTCTACGGATCAGATTCACCATTTTTCTCGGATTTTATGGACTGATTGTGATCTACGATATGTTTCTGCTGAATTGGTTTCTGGGTTTTGTTTCAGTCTAGGGTTATACCAGACACTGCAGCAGAACTGATCGAGTACTTTCTCGATACAGAAGCTCAGGAGATTGAGTTTGAGATCGCGAGGTTGAGGCAGAGGTTAGTGAAGATGGTTGAACTGAATTAGCTACATGACTGTTGCATGCCACCTGTTTGATGAATTGTCTCTTTGAACATGTTTCGGTTGTTTTCCTTAGTTATGGAACCCGGATTCATCGATATATTTGTGAAGATTCTAGCAGAAACAGGATGTCGCCCTAGTTTAGGAACACCGAAACAGAAGTTAAAATGACTGAAATGTGTTACCTTTCTGATTTACGGGTGGGGTTACTGTAATTTCCAGGTTGAACGACGAATTCTTCTCGCAGATACGTCTTGAAATAGGGCAACTAAGATTTGCTGTTTCGAAGACAGAGGTAACTAATTACTTTCTTCGTGTGAAATCTGCCGCCACAATCTGAGGAAATCGCCAACCATTTACTTGGGTGATTCTTGCAGGAGATGGAGGACAGGCTGATCGAGCTCGAAGCACTTCAGAAAGCCTTGGAAGAAGGAATAGGTTTGCACGTCTTTTTCTTCGGTTCCTTGTTAACACCGTTCACACCACTGATTCAGCAAAACTTTTCTCTCCAAGCGAGCATTTCATCTCTTGTTATGTTGTTGCAGAGGCCTATGATAAAATGCAGAATGAGCTTATAACAGCTAAGAACAGCCTAACCAAGATCTTGACCACAAGTGACGTAAAAGCAACGGTAAGTGTTCTTGATTTCACCGATCAAGTGAGTATATACACTTCCGATATTGATACTTTAGATTGGTGCTTGCTTGGGATTTGCAGTTGTTGGAAATGGTTGAGAAGAACGAACTCAATAGATCTTTATTGGCACTCCTCGACGAAAACATAGCAAATGCATACAGGGGAAACCAGGTAAACCCGATTTGTTTCGAAAAAAAAAATTATTTTTTTGGTGCTGATTTTGAATATAGAATGAATGGTTATGAATTGAAATCACTCATATAACTTAGCTCCAAATCTTGCTTTCTTCGGCTTTTTTCCTCATTAACTCATCGAATTTCCTATTGAACTAAATTGCAGAAACAAGCTGCGGAGTACATGGAGAGTATTCGTGGTTCGGTTCTTAAGTACTTGACGGTATGAGATCGTTGGTAAAGGCTGTCTGGTTTTGGATGTTTCTTGCGCACCAAGTAATGTTTCTTGTGGATTATAAGTAAAAAAAGGGTAAAGATGTTCTTGTTTATTACTTTTAAGAGCAAAAAAAAAATGTTTGAAATGTTTGGTTTTCTGTATCATTCACCACTAATTCATATAAACCAAAGTTTTTTTACATTATGCTTCATCGCATAACAAATATCTTATAATGTAGAAGCAGTTGATAGGATACAAATCATTTAGTAAATTTACGTATGATGAAAATATAGCCATTTCGCTCGACCTTGTAATATAGTGAACGACCATTGGTGTCATTTTTTTTATGACAAATTTTAAAATTGAACATTGGTGTCATTTGTTATTTGGTGTCTTCATCAATGGCGGGGCTAGTGAAATGTTTATGTCGGTTAAGTATTTAATGCAAAATAATAGATAAACGAAATGAATAAAAAGAAAAATTGTAATGTAAAAACCCACAACTCCTATTGGTTGACAACTTACCATTTGAAAACTATGTAGTCAAATGTTTATGTCGGTTACATATTTATGAGTTGGATTCGTAACCGATTTTTTTTATACAAATTATTTAAATTTTTTTTTGTTTCATTTAAGTTTTCAATTAATTTTATATATATATATATATATATTTTTTCAGATTGATAATTACTTTTAAAATTTTATATAAAATGTTTTTATATAATACAATTTGAATATAATTATATATCACTCAATTGCATTCATTTTAAATTCATACATTGACAAATAAACCATTATTTATTACTCTAAATATAGGAAAAAAAAACTAATTTTGGAAAATAATATATATGGAAGGTACATTGGATTCTTCGAGGGAAACAATAATCAAGAGAGAGAGACATTAATGAATATCACTGCTTCCAAGCATGGCCTCTCCTTATCCTTTATTTTTTTTTCAAATATAGCATTCCATCCTAATTATTGTCTTCACGTGCATATGTCTTCGTTTTCTTTTTTTTTTCTTTTTTTTTCTTTTTATTTTTTCTATTTTGGGTCATTGAGATGCCATAAAATGGTGGTAGTACAGAGTTGTTTCATTAAATACAGCACTGAAATCGTATTAAAAATGTAATCTAAAACAGTAAAATTCCATGCATATGACACAAAAATATTCGAGCTTCCTAAAAAAATGATTTTTAAAAACTATTATATATATATATAACATGTTAAATAAAAAATTCCAATGTCCAATGTCGTTTATAAAATTTCCACTACAAACGATTTGCAGTTGAAATTTAAACAACCAGTGTTTAGTTTTTTAGTGGGTTTTTCTTACAATGCGACGTAAATATTTATATTGCCAAGTGGTTGTATCTACATAACTAAATTTCCACGATTCGGTCTCCTTTCGGTACAAAATCACAATATAAATTCGTCCTTGACCGCATCCAAATAAAAATAAATAAATTTGAAATTTAGTGAAATAATACAAAAAACAAATATCTAAAAAAAATTCCAAGTTCGTGAATTATGCGATACATACATTAGAAAAATCATCAGTCTTTGACTTTGATATTAATGAGATTTTAAAACTCCAATGAAAATTAAAATATTACGCATCACTATAGCTAGTGTCGTTACCACCAAAAAATTTAATTAATTAATTAAAACAAAGTTAGATATTTTCCCACTTTTGAAACACAGTATCCATCTCCTCTTTGACTGAGTTTCCCTATATATATATAACACAAAACACTCTCTTTTCACTTCACAGGGAAAAAATAGAGAGAGAGAGAGATGGAGCGAAAACAAACACTCTTCATCCTTGTAATCATTTTCACATCAACCATTCTCCAAACCGAATCCAAATCCACTAACCGGACCGTACCGGACCGGTTTATCGAGTCAGCATGCCGTGCCACTCGGTACCATTCACTCTGCGTCCAAACTCTCTCAGCCTATGGCACCAATATCCGACACAACGACCAAGACCTGGCCGTGGCCGCTCTTACCGTCAGCCTGGCTCGAGCCAGGGTCGGCTCCGCCTTCATCTCCAAGCTAGTCGGGACCCGGGCCCTCCGTCCTAGAGAGTATGGTTTCTATTCGTTACATTTTTTTTTCATTTAAACAAAATCATATACGACAATTTCTCTTCAATTGCAGAAATCTATACTAAGGGGTTTCGAGATAACACAATAAAAACTAGGGTTAGACATTTCGATTTTTGGTTCGGGTTAGATTCGGGTTCTGTTTTAGATTTTATGGTAGATTCGATTTGATTTTGGTTTGAATTCGGTTTTACATGGAAAAAAATGTGAATTTTCTATATAAATTTACGATTTTTTAATTATTTTTTCATGTATATTTGGTTTGAATTCGGTTCTTCGCTTATAAAAAATATCATAACTATTGAGTTTTGTATTAGATTCGATTCGATTATAATGTCATTTTATTTGATTTTTATATCTTTTATAGGGTGGTATGGATTGAACTAAAAAAAGTATAATTCCAATTAGTTAATTTTTTTTATATAAACAAATTTTTTTTATATAAACAACATCATAATGTACCAATTTATTTCCAATTGTTTCTATACTAAACATTTGAAGACGTTACATTGTAATTAAAAAAACGAGAATCTGAAATGTCAAACCATTAATCTTAATTTGTTCGAAATTAATATTTTGCACACAGGATGCCAGGGATCGGACCAAGAGACTACATGGCGATCAAGGACTGTGCCCAGACAATGGGCGATAGCGTGGACCGTCTGGCTCAGTCGGTCAAGGAGCTGGTCCGAGCGGGCGGTTCTGACTCACCAGAGGACTTTATGTGGAGGATGAGCAATGTTCAGACGTGGGTCAGTGCGGCTCTGACGGACGTGTCCACGTGTCTTGATGGGTTCGGTGGTGGTCGATCCACGGACGGGAAGGTGAAGGGCATGGTTCGGAACAGGGTGATCCACGTGGCTCGCGTCACAAGCAATGCTCTTGCGCTTGTTAACCGGTTCGCCGACCGGCGAAGTGTTAAGATTCCGTAATGGTTGGTTCTTTGTGTGAAATGTTTATTATGTGGGAAAAATTCTGGTTTGGTTCATGTGAATGTATTTGGGAGTTTGTGTAACAAATCTATATCTACTTAAGTGTAAAAAAATGCAAAACCTGTATAATTATTGAAAAAAAACAGTGTAATTTTTAATAATTATTGGAAAAAATATTATAATATTGTTTCATAATTATTGGAAACCCCTTTTATTCTCCCACTTGTTAACAGGAATTTTAACGTTCATGATTCGGCCGTGGAAATTTATATTTTTTCCCCTCAACAAAACCATACTGAAATTTGAAGATTTAAAAATCAACATAGTGAGAAAAATTGAACAAACTCTTTTAACTAAATCGAATAGATCCAAGTATTATTTCAGTAAGAATAAAATTGTGTTTAGTTCTTGTGAAATAATTAGGATGTGATTTATATAGAAAAGAATTCTTTTATAGATATTTTGAGTTTACATTTTACAATACCAGAAACAACATTCTAAAATTCAAATAAGTTAATCTCCTAAATTATATATTTTTAAAATTATTATTTTTTATTAATTATATGCATAGAGTTTGAAATTAATACAAGTTATTAACTTTTTAAATTCCCAATTGCATTGATATTTGTTTTGGAAGAAATAAAAAAAACACACCGATGTAATATTTATACGACTATCGGCCCAAATTACGAAATGGCAAAGTTAAACCTAAAATAACAAAAATATCGGTGACATTTTTTTACAAAAAATATCGGTGATATTTTATGCAAGAAACAAACATAAACATCGAAAATCGAAGGGATGTCTATACTGTATTCCGACTTAAACATATATGTGTGTGTATGCATGTATGTATGTATGTATGTACGTACGTACGTATGTATGTACGTACGTACGTACGTATGTATGTATGTATGTATGTATGTATGTATGTATGTATGTATGTATGTATGTATGTATGTATGTATGTATGTATGTATGTATGTATGTATGTATGTATGTATGTATGTATGTATGTATGTATGTATGTATGTATGTATGTATGTATGTATGTATGTATGTATGTATGTATGTATGTATGTATGTATGTATGTATGTATGTATGTATGTATGTATGTATGTATGTATGTATGTATGTATGTATGTATGTATGTATGTATGTATGTATGTATGTATGTATGTATGTATGTATGTATGTATGTATGTATGTATGTATGTATGTATGTATGTATGTATGTATGTATGTATGTATGTATGTATGTATGTATGTATGTATGTATGTATGTATGTATGTATGTATGTATGTATGTATGTATGTATGTATGTATGTATGTATGTATGTATGTATGTATGTATGTATGTATGTATGTATGTATGTATGTATGTATGTATGTATGTATGTATGTATGTATGTATGTATGTATGTATGTGATTTAGTCCATGTATTTGCATCCGAGCATGATCATGATAATGGACCACCAAGTCCCAATCACTCGTATAACAGAACAACGATACCAATCGATAGTTGGGTCCATAATAAGTATACAAAACGTGGAAGATATAACAAAGAAATATATCAATCAACGAAAATATAAATATTATTTATACTTCCAACTCTTGATTTGCCTTATCACAACGGTCTAAGATAAAAAGGAGTTTGTTAGACTTTACAGCTGAAAAAGATACCAGATATTATTATTATTATTATTATTTTGTGATATATGCTAAGATACCATTGAATAAGAACATTTTTAAAACAAAATTAATTCGTATTAAAGTAAATTTAGTTTAATTGAAAGTTTAAAATTAAAATAATGATTTTTGTTGAAAAATATAGTATTTGGAAAACATATACCTATACTCTGAGATATTTCAAATTTGGCACGTGGTCAAAGACAAAACATGTTAGAAAAAGTTATATAACACTATATATTATGTTATAATTAGCAGCTAATTAATTGAAAGTAATTAGATGATTAAATGTCTCATATATGGATGGTGCTTGACATTACAAGAAAATGTTAATTATAATAGTAGAGTTTGGGGGTTTACATGTAATTACTTTTTTTTTTGGGTGTGCCCCTTTGTTAAAAAAAAAATGGGTTTCAAATTTAGTTCCGTTTGGTTTTTATCAAAGTGGCGACAAGAATCATACAAAGATCATGTCCAAAAAGCCAAACAAAAAAGAGAATCTAAAAAGCAAAATAAAAAGATTAAAAATATTTTAATAATAAAATATCATAAAAAAATATAAATAAATAAATAATCAAATAAAAAAATATATCACTTAAAAATTTTATAATAATATATAAAATTTCAATTCTTCATACGCGTATATACATAGCATCACAAATGTCGTCCACTTCATACAATATTAATTATATGAAAGTTCGATTTTTATACAATATTTACAAAACTTAATTTACATGTTTTCAATGTATAAAAGTTAACTTCAACAAAAAAAATTAATTTAAACAATATTCATTTGTACAAAATGCAAGTTTTAATCACAAACTCGAACTTCTATACTTATCTCTATTTTTTCTTTTTATTTATTATTATTATTATTATTATTATTATTATTATTATTATTATTATTATTATTATTATTATAGAGTTTGGGGGTTTACATGTAATTACTTTTTTTTTTGGGTGTGCCCCTTTGTTAAAAAAAAAATGGGTTTCAAATTTAGTTCCGTTTGGTTTTTATCAAAGTGGCGACAAGAATCATACAAAGATCATGTCCAAAAAGCCAAACAAAAAAGAGAATCTAAAAAGCAAAATAAAAAGATTAAAAATATTTTAATAATAAAATATCATAAAAAAATATAAATAAATAAATAATCAAATAAAAAAATATATCACTTAAAAATTTTATAATAATATATAAAATTTCAATTCTTCATACGCGTATATACATAGCATCACAAATGTCGTCCACTTCATACAATATTAATTATATGAAAGTTCGATTTTTATACAATATTTACAAAACTTAATTTACATGTTTTCAATGTATAAAAGTTAACTTCAACAAAAAAAATTAATTTAAACAATATTCATTTGTACAAAATGCAAGTTTTAATCACAAACTCGAACTTCTATTTCTATCTTTATTTTTTCTTTTTATTTATTATTATTATTATTATTATTATTATTATTATTATTATTATTATTATTATTATTATTATTATTATGTCAGCCGCCATAATTGCGTCTACGAAACAACTAATTTATTTGGAGAAGGCATCTAAAGTATGATAATTTATTATCACTAAATAGATGTAATTTTGATATTTATTTGACATGCAATTAACCTATTTCAAAAATACACAGATACACACATGTTTCTATATAATATGTTTAAATTGTTTGTGGTTAAACGTAATTATTCTGTCTCATTGTTACTATGCCCTTAATTTAATAGTTGTTATTTAAAATGATATTAGCCATATATATATATATATATATTTTATGTAAATCAGATTAATTTTGGGGAATTCAGTTTCGTTTTCGCGTGAGTTTCTTTTGTTGTCTCATATGTTTCGTGGATTCAGTATCAATATCATGATGTTGATGTTGGAATCTTTGTTATTTCTAAGTTCTACATAATTATTAAAAAAAAAACACCGACAATAATAATTAATTTAATTCCAAATAGACTTATTTATTGTTAATTTAATTCGATTTTATATACCAAAATTAAAATACCAACCAACCAACTATTATACCATCAAACTCCTCGTGAGTGAACGGTCTCCATCCTGAAAATTTTAAGCCAATAAATAAATATTGCGACTCTTAATTTTTTTAATCTGATAAATGATATTTTAATTTGTTCTCGTTAGCTTTAGCCGGACAGGAAAAAAAAAGGAAAGATATCGTTTGAAATAAACCTCGTACTTATCCAAAGGCTTGTACTTTAATTTAATTCCACGAATTTTAAGGTGCAATTTTTAAGTAATTTATTATACAAATACATATTTATATAATATATTTAGTTTTTTTGTTCAATATTGTTAATGGGAAATTATTCATCGTCCAGGTCGGGGCTCCCTCCTGTAATTACGGTGTTTCACGAGCCAGCATGCTAACACATATCTCTAATTATTACCAAAAGGAGCAATAATTACTAATGATGGTATCACATAATGATTTTTTTTTTCCATCGTTTTTATTAAATGCGAGATATGATCAAATTATTTCTTTATATTCAACTCAAACCTGATTAATATTATCTAATTCTTCCAAGATATAATTCTCGATCTATAGAGTATTTATGTTATTTGGACCATCATGCATAAACATACCCACCCTTTTTAATAAACTTTTGCTTTCACATAAATTTATATATATATATATAAATATATATACATAAATATATATAAATACCCAAGTCCATTCGTCTCCATGAACCAAAGAAAAAAAAAAGAAGCGAAGATCCAAAAAAATGAAAACCTTATCCCAAACCCCGATCTTTGCTCTTCTTGTTCTTCTTCCTGTTCTTATCCAAGTCTCCAACACTTCAGCCACAGACCAAACCACAAACTCAAACCAAACCATGAATTCAAACCAAACAGACATAGATTACATCAAAACCTCATGCAATGTAACGCTGTATCAAACCCTATGCTGCACCTCTCTATACCCTTACGCCTCTTTGATCGATTCAAACCCCGAAAAACTCGCAAACACCGCCCTCAATCTCACCCTATCCGAGACCAAATCCGCCCAAAAATTCGTCAAGTTCATCTCCCGTCACCGCCAAGGGAGCTTCACGCCAAGAGAAGCTGCGGCCATGGAGGATTGCATGGAAGAGATGAGTGATTCGGTCTACGAGCTCAAAGACTCTGTTAACGAGTTGAAGACAATTAACTACTCGAGTTTCGAGATGGTTATGTCGGACGTTCAGACATGGGTGAGCGCTGCCCTAACGGACGAGGATACTTGCATGGAAGGTTTCGAAGAAGGCGGAGGAGAAGCAAGGACTGAGATTAAAGAATTGGTACGGAAACACATCGATAGGGTTGCTTGTATGACGAGCAATGCCCTCGCTCTCATCAATATGTATGCGTCTATACACCGAGACTAATGTTTATACCATACTATAGTTTACATGATTATCATCAATTTCCTAATAATAAAACGGTCTAGGTTACGAAATCTACCGTACAAAAGCATATTTTTGTGAACAATTTTTATGTATGTTCATCCTATACGGTTCGTTATTTCAGTTTATTGTTGGAGATTTATGCTGTAAAAATTTGTAATAAGATTTTAGATGACAGGGATGTGGATATGTTGTAGTTATATAATAAGATATACACGAATGTATGGAGGTGCCGTGTTTGTTTGTTTCCAAAGTGTTGAGCAGCTAATCCACGTTGTCCACTTGTTGGTCGGATTTTATTTATTTATTTATTAATTAAAAAAACAAATACTTGTTCTTTTGGGCCTTATATGGGCCTATCCCTTTCTGCACACTTAATGGGCCTTGATCTATTGAGTCCACTTAATAGGTTTTTCATGTTTCTTTCTCAGCCATCCATTCAACGTAACCATCAGGCAATATATCTGGTATACCCTTTGACTGCTATTCCAACTTCTACTACTACCCTTGAAACAAAAAATTGAAAAAAAAAGACTACTTTTCATGCCAAATGACACAAAAAACCCTAAACATTTATGAATAGACCAAAAAACCTGAAAAAATTTGAAAAAAAAAAATGAAAGAAAAAAAAAATAAAGACGCAACGTCTCTCTCTCTCTTCAGTCGCGTCTTCTCCCTCTCTCTCCTCACTCACGTTTCAGCACTCTCTCTCTCTCCTATAACTTGCAATTTTCCTCAGTTTCTTCACTCCCATAACGATTTGCGCCGAATCGTTCCAATCTTTGTGCCCCAAATTTCATTTTCTCTCAGCGCGTTCTCTTTGGGAAGACAGAAGAAGCAACGTCCGACTGCAAAAAAATGACAAGTTCTGGGTCTTCGTCACAATCCTCGAGCGAAAGTGAGAGCCGTATGGAGATTTCGGAATTAGATGGACACAAGGTAAGTTAGAATCACATTTCTTTGCAAATTTTGGAGTTAGATGAACACAGTTGTTGTTCGATTGAAGTGTGGGTTGGGAAATTTGAAGGATAGAACATTAGGGTTTTGGGCAATTTTGAAATTTGGGGATTTGGAAATAGAATTTTGGTTTGAGACTTTATGGTTAAAATCGAGTGTGATGGTTGAGTTTCGGTCACAATGGATGAGTTTAAGTCAAGTAAAAGAAGTGACATAGGACACAACACGGTATGGGTCGGATTGTCATGAGGAATCGGATGACCTAAGGATTCAAATGCTATGGTCTCACGGTCACAGTCACAAAGTCACAGTGTCACATGATTGTATAGTCACTAGGTCACAGTCTCAAAGGTCTCAGTGTCACATGTTTATATAATCACAAGGTCACAGTCTGAAAGGTCACAATATTTGATGTTTTGCAGGCGCCGTATATCTACAAACTTGATCAAATTCAGTTTTGCCCGAAGATAAATACGAGATGTTATCCGGCTCAGACACTGAAGAAGCTGAAAGACCTACTAACAAACGAGGAATGGATGTACTTTAGCAAAGAGTCACAGTTTCAGCATCTGTTTCACACCAAATTCGAAAAGACACTGAAGATGGCACCTGCTGCATTCCTCATCAACCACGCAGTGTTGCTCGAGGATGATTGTGAGCTATAGTTTGTTATCAATGGAGTGCCCATCAGGTACTCCATCGTGGAACACGCCTTGATATCAGGATTGAAATGCGGTGAATATCCACCAGGGTGGGAGTACAAAAGGAAAGACAAGTTCAGACTGAAGATGTTTGAGAATCGGAAAGTGTCTAAGCAAAACGTTCTTAGACAACTTGAGAAGACGCCACTCGATAAGGTTGCTGATCGGAAGAAATTGGCCATCGTGATGATACTCGGAGGGATTCTGGACCATGGCACCACAGAAGATAGTATCAACAATGATTTGGTGGACATGGTGAATGATTTGGAGTTCTGCGAAAGGTTTCCATGGGGACGATATACATTTGAAAAGATCAATGAGCAGATACGGAAAAGTTTTGCGAGTGGCACTCCGAAGGAAAAATGGCACTGTCGGGGATTTATAATACCCCTTATGGTAAATATTTTTTGTTTAATGGATTATTTTAGAGTTGCCATTATATATGTTACTGTGATTTGAGGGTTTGTTTGTTGTGTTATAATGTTTAAACAATATTTTACAGTTGCTTCCATTCGAATGTATATCCGGCTTGGGTTGCAATGGGTGGTATAAAGATGTTGAAGAAGCAGATTCGGGGTGTCCTAGAATGTGCAAGAAGTCCGTGAAGGCAAACGTCCGCTGGACCTTTGGTAATGTCATAAAAAAGATTGGAAAGAAATCAGAGGTACGCCTAAATCACAATATACAATAATCACATGGTCACATAATCACATGGTCACATAATCATATAATTACATAGTCACATAGTCACATGGTCACATGGTCACATGGTCACATGGTCACATGGTCACATGGTCACATGGTCACAGAATCACATGGTCACAGAATCACATGGTCAGATGGTCACATGGTCACGTAATCACATGGTCACATAATCATATAATTACATAGTCACATGGTCACAGAATCACATGGTCACATGGTCACATGGTCAGATGGTCACATGGTCACGTAATCACATGGTTACATAATCATATAATTACATAGTCACATGGTCACATGGTCACATGGTCACATGGTCACGTGGTCACATGATTCAGAATGAATACTTATAGTAACATTGAATCACATTTGTTTTCAAGGTATTAAAAGCATACTGCAGATAGAAAGCGGTGAAGAATCACTTCTTTTTGATTTGGAAGGGTATGAAGGGAGTAAAGATGCAAAGGTTCAATTTTGGATGCAACATCTGAAAAAGAACCCGGAAAGCATATGTTGGAAGAAGAGTCGCGATGCAGAGTTGCATTGCAGAAAGTCATTGGAGACGAAAAGGAAGGGTAAGCGCAAAGTATTGATAGACGATGATTCAGAGGAAGTAGATGAGAAAGAAGATGAAGAAGAAGAAGTACAAGAACGAGAGCAGCAGCAACGACGACAACAACAACAACAACAACAACAACAACAACAACAACAACAACAACAACAACAGAGGGCTTTTCGTCATGGAGTAACGGGGCTGTCACATATTGAAGCATTGAAGGAATATATACAGCTGGAAATAAAAGCGTCTGAGAGTCGAATCATCGATTCTGTTGGGGATATAGTTCGACGGCTTTTCAAGGACGCTGGGTTCCTTTTTGATCCAGCTACGAAGAATCCAACAGAGCCCATAATTTTGAGGACAAGTCCGATAGATCTGGACAATGTGAGGATGAGCCCAACCTTCAAAGAACCAGAGTATGCAGAAGCAAAACCGACAAGTCCGATAAATTCTGTTGGGACTGATGAATATTATGATAAGGCAGAGGAAGAAGACTTTATATTGCAGTCTCGAGATGGGACTCCTATGGCTGCCTCGCCCAAGAATGCACATAAAGGAGAAGGGTGTTCGGGACTTGACACAATTGTGGCTACTATTACTGCACAAGTAGGAAGTAAGTACTGGAATAAAGTTTCAGTCACAATGTAATTAGGTCACATGGTCACAGAATTTAATTTGATTGTATTCACTATTTTTTGTTTAGGCGATGGTGATAAGGATAAAGGTCACGATGATAATGATGATGGTGTTGGAGATGAAGAAGAAGATGATGGGGATGATGAAGAAGATGATGATGGGGATGATGAAGAAGATGATGATGGGGATGATGATGGGGATGATGAAGAAGATGATGATAAAGATGATGATAAAGATGATGATCAAGATGATGATCAAGATGATGATAAAGCCAATGAGGATGATGTAATGTCTGAAAAACCTAAGGAAGAGGTAGTGACGCAACCTGAAGCAGAAGTTATCCCCCCAACACCATTGAAAAGGAGTAAAAGGAAAGTTGCTGATGGTCCGACCAAGAGAAGTCCCTACGTCGATCCAGTATCAAGTGGCCCCCCTGCAAAAAGAACCCGATCCCATGCATACCCGGGGAGAGGAAAAGGTAGGGGTAAAGTCACCATTAATACGAGCCAGAAGGAAGTTGAAGTTGCTGAGGTCGCTGAGGATTCAACCGAGAAAGACGTTGTTAGTGAAAAGGAGTATGTGTGGAATCCTGAGCGCATTCACAGTAGTGGTAAGTTCCTTATCCGGAATCAAACTTTTGTTGAATGCGATGGACCAAGGGCTACATCTCTATGGGAATTTATGAAGAAGCCAGAAGAAAAAAGATTGTGGAAGTCAAGGTTGAATGTTGAGCGGGAACCAAGTTTTTGGGAGACGCTTTTGGAAGTCGGACTTTGGCTCACAGATATTGTAAGTGTACTCGGTCACACAATCACAATCACATAGTCACACAATCACAGAGTCACGTGGTCACACGATCACGGTCTCATGGTCACAATGTCACATGGTCACAAAATCTCAAGATTTAATGTTGATTGTATTTACTGACATGTATTGTTTTATTCTGTAGCACATGGATGAGGCGATGTACGAACTCCGAACCCGCGTTATAAAGAATCCCGTGACCTTCATTGGATTCAATTACTTGGTGTGTGACACCATGTTTGTTGAGTTAATCAATACATGGGCCGAATCGGGAGATATGACAACTGTGGGCGATCTACAGCCATACTTCAACGGAAGGCTTCCAATTGGCTGTGCAGGGACGCCGTTGATCAGCTACGAGGGATTCGTGAGTGTGCTTAATGTTCTCGGATTTGGCAATGATGAAATCAGCTGCAATTGGATTGCCATTAAAGTGGATTTCAGTGAGAAAACTCTGGAAATCTACGATTGTCAAGCCAGACTGCAGGAAAAAGCGAAAGAGGCAGTTCAAACACTCTGCCATGCCGTTCCGAAGTTGTGTTGCCTTGCTGGGTCGGAAGCTTTCGCTGATGGAGATGTATTGGACATTGAGTATGTGCAGGACGTACCCCAAAACAATGGGGAAGAATGCGGGGTTTTCGCAGTGAAGTACATCGAAGCCATTTGCCTTGCCAAAGAGCATATGCTATTACCGTTGATATGCAATGACAATGTCACGCTGATCCGTGAACAACTAGCAGCAGCAATATTCGCTAATGGCAAGCCTCAAAGGTTTAGGAAGAAGAGAGAGTGATTTCGGTCTAAACCGTTTTTACGTTTATGTTGTTCTGAACACTTTTTAAGACTACTTTTGTTTGTATTTATTAGTATTTATGTTTGTTTTAATTAAGTTGGAAAAAAATGTCGGATTCTTAATGTTTGTATAGAAAATTATAGGGTTAAAATTTAATAGATGAAAATTTGGGGTTAAAATTTGATAGGAAGAAAAATATAGGGTTAAAATTTGGGAGGGACTTTTAGGGTTAAAATTTGGGAGGGAAAATAATCTGGGACCCACAAAACACAAAAAACTGGCGAATTCTGACTATTTTTTCGTATGGGTCCCACAACAGATTTCGGTCACAATGGGTCACAGTCGGTCACAACCGGTCACAACCTTCGATTCATGCGATTTTTGTCAATTTAATCAGTTTACAACGTCACACATCCCTCATAAGCCTATTTTATATTGTTTTGAACAATAAAATATGGGTTTGATGATATTTTGGTTTCAAAGTAGGTATTCCAAATGTGTTCCTATATGTTTCATATTGTTTTATGAGTGATTTTGGCAAAATTGATATATTTCTTCTACAAACCCATTATAATAAATTTAAATTTTGGTTGTAACACTATATATTTGATATATACACTCTGATAAACCATCTCCAAGCTTTAAAATCCAAGTTTGGTTTATATTTATCAACATATTTCGGTCACGGGTCACAGTCGGTCACAATGGTCACATAGTGCAAAATTGCACTTCGGTTACATGGTCACATGCCGGTCACAATGGTCACAACGTTATCACATGTGAGTCAATTCATATAGTGTCTAACTTAAACCAGATATATGTCAAAATTCATCTTCAATAATACATATTTATTATGGTACAAACACAATATTATATATCATTACATTATACACACACATTACAATATCATCAACCAAAGTTCTTTGACATTATTGTACAAATGTCTTGCAAATACCTCATAATACCAATACAACACATAACAATTATTATACAGATTTTCAACATTCTCGATGTTTTTCACTCCAAAATAGTTGTTCTCTCTGACATTGCCGATGTTGATGTTTCCGCTACACATTTGATTCTCTTCCGTGCTTCTCCAGGACCAGGATACCGATTTTGTTTAGGCCTCCCACATTGGTGTTTCTCATCCATTATAGGAGGCATAACCACAAGATTTGCAACATTCGGGTCATCGATAATCCATTCACAGCAATCGGGGACCGGATACACGGTTTCCTGATAGGCAAGACGCCATGCCTCCCGTGTATAGTATGGAGAACACAAGTCTGGTATAACATTCGCTTTACCAACCTTATGAAGTGCTGCAACTGCATGACTGCATGGGATCTTATCGATATCAAACACCCT